GTTTCGCTCCTCCAACCAATGTGGGATCTCACAATCCACCTCCTGGGCCTAGTGTCCTCACTAGCACACTGTCCGGTGTCTGACTTTTGATAATTATTCCACTGATAGTAGATATTGTTTGTTTTGGCCCATTACGTATCACCATCAGCCTCACAATTTTAAATGTGTTTACTTGGGAGAGGTTTCCACACCCTTATAAGGAATACTTCGTTCCCTACTCCAACCAATGTGGGATCTCACAGTCCACCTCTCTTGGGAGCCCACGTCCTCGCTAGCACACCGTTCGGTGTCTGGCTCTAATACCATTTGTATCAGCTCAAGCCCACCACTAACAGATATTGTCCACTTTGGCCCGTTACATATCACTGTCATCCCCACGATTTTAAAACGTGTCTACTAGGGAGAGTTTTCCACACTCTTATAAGGAATGATTCGTTCCCCTCTCCAACCAATGTGGGATCTCATTACATCATAGACATGTCTACCCCACAGCCACATCAACCTATCCATTAAATTATTACTTCAAAGAGTTTATCTACTATAACGCGTTCTAGGTACATCATGGAACTCCATATAGTCTATTCGCAGGCAAAGCAACAAAATATTAAGTGCTTCCTTAAAGTCTTACCTTGAATAAATACATCAAGTTGGACTGCTTGTTTTCAATTTCCAGGAGATGCTTTCGAATGCAGACCATATCATTTGCAACTTCCGAGTCACATTCTTGTACAATTCGACAACTAGACTCTGTGACCACGGACTCGAGACTTCTACGATCCATCACTGGTGTCGAGTACATCTGCTCCTCGCTACAAACCCCTTCATTGACAAATCGCTTACTTCTATCAGTTGACTTATGCACACTGCTGTCTTCAAGACTCTCACGACAAACCATTCCGAATTCCCGACCAGGTAAAAAACTGGACACAGAAGAACAGTCTTGTCTGTCATCCATTCTGACATAATCATATTCAACATCTTGTATGTCTGTAACATCAGTGCTCACTCCTTGAAATGTCTTTGTGACAGTACTCCCTTCAGATTCCTCTGTGTGAAATCCTGACAATGACTGGTTGCGCTTTTGTGGAACAGCTATTTCAATATGACAATCATTTGCTTTGAAATGCTGTGTGTTCTCCAAATAACTTGGACAGGTCTTTCTCATGTTTAGTGGAATCCTCCCTCTTGTAGAGCCCACGCCTACTTTCCTAATGGCAGCATCCTTCTTTCCATGTTCCATTGAACTAGTAACATCACTGAAGTCACCCCCACAAAGGTTTTCTGTGCAAAGCGTGAAACAGAAGTAAATAAAAGGTAAAAATGTATGAAAATAGTGGTATCAAGAATTGACCATTAGACCTTTAATGGATGAACCAGCTTCTGAAGGTTCAGGAGTATCTGGCCCTTGAATGTTGTTCCAATACTGAAGGGTCTGGAGTACAATGTCCCTAACTGGCTTCACCTATCAGAAACATGGCAATTATAAAAATTTAGTTTCCTAATTATGTGGAACTGTGGTTGTCGGTTCATTTTTTCGATGTATTTATGTATGGTGTGGACATAAACCTTGTCAAATCTACATGATTCGAGGGAGCGAATGCAGGAAGCCTTAAAAGACCCGACGAAGGACCCACAGCTTGCGGCGATTTCACCTAACGCAACGGAAGCAGCTTTTCGAGTCGTCCAATCACTGTTCTTGAGAGCTTCTTGGATGCCAAGCATTGCAGCAGAGAGAACATTTTGATTTGAAGCACCCCCAGCCTGTAATACATAGTGAAACGGAATCATATTTTGTGAACTTTCTTATAAAGCTTCACAAAAATTTCCCTAAGTGAAACAATCTTTAAAGTATAATCACAGTATATATTATCCTCTTTGGACTTTTCCTCAAGGTTTTTAAAACGCGTCTGCTAGGGAGAGGTTTCAACGCCCTTATAAAGAATGCTTCGTTCTCCTCCCCAACTAATGTGGGATCCCACAATCCACCCCCCTTTGGAGCCCAGCGTACTCGCTAGCACTCGTTCCCTTCTCTAGTCAATGTGGGACCCCCGATCCACCCCCTTCGAGGCCCAGTGTCCTCACTAGCACCCGTTCCCTTCTCTAGTCAATGTGGGACCCCTCAATCCCCCCCTTCGAAGCTCAGCGTCCTTGCTGGCACGTCCACCCCCTTCGGGGCTTAGTTTCCTCGTTGGTACATCGCCCAGTGTCTGGCTCTGATACTATTTGTAACAGCCCAAGCCCACCGCTAGCAAACATTGTCCTCTTTGGGCTTTCCCTTTCGGGCTTCCCCTCAAGGTTTTTAAAACGCGCCTGCTAGGGAGAGGTTTCTACACTCTTATAAATAATGCTTGGTTCTCCTCCCCAACCGATGTAGGATCTCACACACCGTAATACCAGTCTATAGATAATTGCCACATATTTCATTGCTCCATAGTATATCATAAATAGAAGTTTGAGGTAATGAAAGATTGTTTTTGTTTGAACATTATTGTACACGATACAGTCATAGTGAATAAGCATCAGAAAGCTACTAACCTGGATAATACTTCTGTTCAAATCAATCACAGCAGGCTTTGCCATGAAGTGTGGATTCTTAAGTAGCTTTGTGGTTCTTGCCAACATCCGCTGCAAAATCGAAACAGGCGGATCCTGAGTGTTGTCGATAATCCTTGCCAAGCAAAACGCTGAACCTGATTGCATTTGCTTATGTTGTTCCCCCAAAGCTTCAAAGATTGGTTTAACTAAAGTAACAAAGACATCATCACTCTCATCCCCAACATTAATCAATTTTGAAGCTAAAATTCCACATGTCTCCACACACGCATCCCTCACAGCAGAATCAGGATCCTTGAGCCGTTTCACAATGCTGCCAACCATTCTACGAAGATGAGGCCTAATAAGACCTTCATGGAATTTGGCTAGTGTACTCATTAGCCGAACGCATTCCTGTCGAACCGAGCTCTTCTGCTCCGAATCCGTGTCCAAAATACAGGACAAGAAAGGGGGAATCATGTCAGGAGCTATGCATTCAGCTGTTTTTTCAAGCTCATCAAACCCAATTTGGTAAGTGTCTCGATCTGCAAGCTTGTTTAGTGCAAGAACCACCTTCTGTTTCAACTCAAAAACTAACTGTTGTGCAGTAACCTTGGTTGCTGTTCTTCCTTTAACATATCCTTGTGTCTTCATCATGTTATATTACCTTATTTTTTTCAAAAAACATGCTACTAATTAGACAGTTTTCAACAAGAAACCTTAAAATGACAAACAAAATCTAAGAAATGCCACTACAATCCTAATGACTCAAACTCAAAAGGTGTATATCATCAGATACACAGATGGTTAGGAATCACGACTCTCCACAATGATGATATCATCCACTTTGAGCATAAGCTCTCATGGTTTTGCTTTGGGCTTCCCCAAAAGGCCTCATACCAATGGAGATGGACTCCCTCTCAACAATTCTCCCCTCGAACAAAGTACACTATAGAGCCTCCCCTGAGGCCTATGGAGTCCTCAAGCAGCCTCCCCTTAATCAAGGCTCGACTCCTTCTCTAGAGTCCTCGAACAAAGTACACCCTTTGTTCGACACCTGAGTCACTTTTGACTACACTTTCGAGACTCACAACTTCATTGTTCGACATTTGAGGAATCTATTGACATGGCTAAGTTAAGGGCATGGCTCTGATACCATGTTAGGAATCACGACTCTCCACAATGGTATGATATTGTTCACTTTGAGCATAAGCTCTCATGGCTTTGCTTTGAGCTTCCCCGACCTCATATCAATGGAGATGACTCGTCAATGCTCAACACACAGATATCTCCAACATTGAAAAAACAATATAAACTGAGAAAAAGGGCACTTCTAACCTCGTAATGTTCTCAAATTTCTTCTTCCTCCACAAGTTTCCACTTCCCCCAACTGGATCAAAGAAGCATCAGCAGAAACCCCAATAAACACACGAACTGTTCTTGAACGAAAGGGACAGCACACCCATCTTTGATTTGCTTCATTTTTCTAGAACAAGAACACGAACAGATCGAAGAATGTGGAAATGGGATTTAGGGAAACAAAGAAGGGTAAGATGGGGTTGTAGAGAAGAGCACAGAAATCAATGGCAATGGGGGATTTAGAAACAATCGAGATGAAATTCAAAATTTGAAAAAACGAAAAGGGGTTAGTAAAAAAATGGAGGAAAGGGGAAGGGTTTAGACAACTTGGGGATGTGGGTTTCTCGTTGGGCTCACCAAGGGAAAAGCACGCAGCTAAGAGAAGAGTTTCGCGCTTCCATTTTGAATTGCAGTCAGAGAAGGATCAGAGAGGCGGATCCCACTTGGCGGATCTCCAATAGCCTATATTATAATACCCCTCCCTTTTCAAACTATATTAAAAAAAACTCAAAATTTGACCAAACATTCAAAACTACAATACTTTATTTTAAAATATTCTCGAAAACTTTTAAACTTTAAAAAATTTAATTAATACGTTAATATTATATTTAAAAAATATCTATCAAATTTTTAAAACAAGTATTTAACATTTTAAAAAAAATTAAAAAACCCAAGACAAATGGTATGAGAGTCTGAACACCGAACAGTGCCAGCGAGGACACTAACCACAAGGAGTGGATTATGAGATCCCACATTGGTTTAAAAGGGGAACAAAACATTCTTTACGAGGGTATTTTCTTAATCTATGCATTTTAAAAACCTTGAGAGAAAGTCCAAAGCCACTAGGCTTAGCTATTACAAAAACATTATGGCAAGTTCAACTTTCTTCTTCCTTCAAACTAGGTCAAGCCTTTAGGTTGTTTAAGTAGGTTGGATTAGGTTAGGTCGATCTTTTGTAGTGATCTTCAATTCGAACCAGACCAAACCTTTAGGTTGTTTAAGTAGGTTAGGCTAGGTCAGATCAGATCGATCTTTTGTAGTGATCTTTAGTTTAGAACAAGCATTTAGATTGTTTAAGTAGGTTGGGCTATGTCGGGTGGATAACCGGACAGAAATATGGTTTCCTTTGTCCTATTGATTCCCAAGTGCTCCAACAACGAACAACAAGTCTTCCACTACTCCCCGACGACTAAAGATAAGCAACAGTGGTCAATTTATGTCAACACGGATCTATGGTAAAGGATCAGCAATGGAGAACAGAGAATCCATTGGCTCCTGAATCCGTTGAGCCGTCATGGATTCATCATTCTTCTCCATGTTCTACTCCATTTCTGTACTTATCCTCCTTGAAGCTCTGATTTCTTCAGGTTTCAATCTAATAATTGGTAATTTTACTTGAATTTCTCTATTGTCTATCGAAGTTAGGGTTTATAATCGTATTGTAACGATTCTCAATGGTTATGGTGAAGTAGGTTCAGAATCGGGAAATAGGGCGATGGCGATTGAAGATGAGGATTCCATGGCTCTTTTACCATTTGGATCTCGCTCTGGCATTGGCAGATTCATTCGATCTCCTCAATGCGGTGGCCCTAGCCGAACAAGTACACTCATTCCTGTCGCTTGTTTAGTTTTTACTTTGTTTTTCTGTTCTTGTTAATGCATTTCTGCGACTTTACTGTTCAATTTGTTGAGCTTGATGCTTCCACTCCCCATTATCTCCTCACTAATATCTGCAATCTCGTTTCCCACTATCTATTCAAGCTTTTTCTGTGATGTTGATTGGGAAGAAGATGCCTCTGGTCGCCCCGTTTGTTTGTTCTATAGCCCAATAGGTTTTGTCGTAATTTAGTGCAACTTATTTAGATTTTGAATTAGTTCCTTATGAAATAAATAGTTAATATTTTTCATTTGATTAGTGTATATTTTATTTTATTCTAAAGATTTAGTTAGTTTATATTTTCCATAGTGGTAGGTATTAGTTGATATCTTGTATCCTATTTAAACATTCTTAACTCTATAGTGTTTCTTTGAGTAATAATATTTTCAGATCTATTCACATTTTGAGTTATTTTGTCATTGTTGTTTTTCTTAGCTCCAGTCCTATCTCCTGATTTGGCTAAGGCTGAGCATCCTGCCTTTGACAAACACTGTTTCTTACCTTTTGCTATATCAATCGTTATGGTTAAGAATCACGGACCTTCCACGATAGTATGATACTGTTCACATTTAGCATAAGCTTTTATGGCTTTGCTTTTGATTTTTCCCAAAAAAGTGTTATGCCAATAGAGATAGTAATCTATGACCATCCCTCTTAATTAGCCAATATGGGACTCTCTCCCAACAATCCTCAACAATCATCTCCTCGAACAAAGCATACCATAAAGCCTCCTCTGAGCCTATGGAGCCCTTGAACAACCTCCTTTCCCTTAATCGAGGCTCAACTCCCTTCTCTGGAGCCCTCGAATAAAGTACACTCTTTGTTCGACACTTGAGTAACTTTTGACTACCATTTCGAGACTCAGAACTTCTTTGTTCGACATTTGAGAAATCTATTGACATAACAAAATAAGAGACATGACTCTGATATCATGTTAGGAATCACGTACCCTCCACAATGATATGATATTGTCCACTTTGAGTATAAGCTCTCATGAGTTTACTTCTGGGTTGAGCATAAGCTCTCGTGAGTTTACTTCTAGTTTCCCCCGAAAGGCCTTTGAGTTGGGAGGGCTTTGGTCAATAAATATGCAATTTGATCCTTTGCAGACCATTCATAGAAAATGGCAAACTAATTAGTCCTTGTATCGCCATTCTTCTTCCTCCTCTTCTCCATTTTGGTGCATCATTATTTCTTCTTTTTAGATTTTGAGTTCTAAAACATCTTGTTTTTTACATTGTGAAATCCAAAAGCTTAAAAGTACTTAATTTTTTATTTATAAGTTTTAACATTTCTCATAGTCTTTAATTCGAAATTAGCATTCGAATCAATAGAAATATTATCAATAATAATTTGGGTGAAAATGATATCCAAACGTTAGAATACATGATCTCTCACCTTGATATGCACCTAGCATAAAAGTTTAATCGAATAGCATGTTGTATATTCAATCATTTATTGTTCTTAACAATTTATTGTTCCAGGGGATGGAATTGCAGTGATTACAGTGAAAAACAATTGTAAGAATACCATCTGGCCAGCAACATATACCCTCGGTCCAGGGCAACCCCAACTATCAACAACCGGGTTCGAGTTAGCTTTTGGAGCTTCAAGGTCACTCAACGTCCCAACGCCATGGTCCGGTCGAGTATGGGCACGAACCTTATGCACCAACCATGATGTACGACTCACCTGCCTAACCGGAGATTGCAGCGGAGGCCTTCAGTGCAATGGTACTTTAGGAGTTCCGCCAGTCACGCTAGTGGAGTTCAACCTTGCAAAGGGCACAAAAGGCACCCAAGATTTTCTTGATATTAGCCTTGTCGATGGCTTCAACATCCCGACCTCAATCACGACCCAAGACGGTTTAGAGAGCGGAGAGTCATGCAAATCTCCGAAGTGTCGTGTCGACGTGAACAAAGTTTGCCCTGTAGAGTTGCAGGTGAAATCTAACAATGAAGTCATTGGCTGCTTGAGCGCTTGCTCTGCATTTAACCAGCCCCGCTATTGCTGCACTGGAGAGTTTATTGGCCCCAACAATTGCAAGCCATCAAGCTATTCACAGATTTTGAAGAACCAGTGCCCAGATGCTTACAGTTACGCGTATGATGATATGAACTCTACTTTTAGTTGCAGTAATTGGCCAAATTATGTCATTACATTTTGCGGATGAACTAATGAAGTTGGAGATGAAGACAATGACTTGGTAGCATGGGAAAACTACTTTAGAACAAGGCAGCAACATTGTAGGGTGCTCTGGGTATAGGATTACGAAGTGTTGTATTATAACATCAGGTCAAAGTTGGGACAAACTTCGACTGAAACGTCGAGACGGACTATTCAATGGACAAACTTCGACTGAAACGTCGAGACGGACTATTCAATGGACAAACTTCAAGTTTCTAAGCCTCAAAATTTGGACGAACATTGGACTAAACGTAGAGATAGAGTGAGAAAAAGACGAACTTTAAGTTAAGGCAACATTGTAGAGTGCTGAGGGTATAGGATTATGAAGAGTCATGTTATAACATCAGGTCAAAGTTCAGACAAACTTCAACTGAAACGTCGAGACGGACTATTCAATGGACGAACTTCAAGTTTCTAAGCCTCAAAATTTGGACGAACATTAGACCGAACGTCGAGATAGAGTAAGGAAAAGACAAACTTTAAGTTTCTAATTCCCTGTAGCTTCCATCGGTCTAAGTTTGAAAAAACTTTGGTCTAAACATCAAGACGGACTTTAGAAAGGGCGAACTTTCATTTTCTAGCACGATAGATCTCTAACAAGTCAAAGTTTCGACGAACTTTAGTACAAACTTTAAGATGTGCAATAAGTTGTAAGAAGAAATAAAAATTGAACTTCTAATTTTAATTCTCCCTCTCGTCACAATCTCACTAAAGTGGTAAAATGAAAAACCATCAAATTTGTTCGAGATTTGTTAATTTGAATATTACTCCACAGATTCGGTAGAACCATTCGACTAATATAAAATTTTGTATATAGTTAAAAATTAATAATTTTGAAAATAATGTATCTTTAACTTATGAAAAATATTTAATAATAGATTTTTATATATTTTTATATATTAAAAAACATGTTATTTTAGATATAAAAATTAACTTATGAAATATGAATGTATCCTATAAATATTCAAATTGATATAATTTTAAATGCGTTGATATATAATTACAAAATTATAATAAAGCTTTACAAAAGTGTCCACCAATGAATGAGGCTTAAAATATTTATGATATTTTTTTAATAAATAGAAGTTTTTTTTTTTCTAAAATTATTTTTTTTAGTATATTTATGGATTAGATAATTTTTTTTGGACAAACTTGAAATTTTAGATTAATTGAATTGATGACTCGAGTGACGAGTACACAATCCAACCTAACCTAACTCTTCTGGTTAGATTGGATTGTCGGGTTTTTATTTTAATTATTTTAAAATTTTGATCTACTGTTATATTAATAACTAAAATCTTATGAAACTCAAATATTAAATATTCACAATTTAAAGGTAGAGTACATTTATTATCGAAGTTCAAATATTCTTTATTTCATTATTTTAAAGGTAGAGTAAGGTTGGCTTAATATCGAGCTGGTCCGGTTGACTCGACCAAAAAAATGTCTAACTTGCAAATTGACCGCTTTTTTTTATTTTTTCAAAAAATTCAACCCGATCCAAACAAAAAAACTAACCCAACCAAACCCATAATTCAAGATAGTCGAGTTCCAAGTCATATAAACAATTCTACTCGGAAACTAATAAAAATGTATATATATACATATATATATAAAATTGAATATATGATTTTTATTTTAGAGAGCAAAATTGGTGTGGACAAAAGAAGCATCTAGAGTACCTACGTGGCAGTGGATCCATCCAACGGTCGACATTTCGCAATGAACAAACAAATGTGTAGAGAATTCTAGACGCTTCTTTGTAGAACGCGCACGGTCCCGTTAAATCTCGGCCGTCCATTTGATAGCCTCTTTTGTTCTATATAAACTCCTAGTCTCTACCAGAATTTTCTAGCAAATGAACGTAAAAGTACGAAGAAATTTGCTTTACGTGTCAAGAACCTTCGTTTCATCGCTCAAACTTGGGTTCCACGAAATTGGGGAGTTGAGTTTCGATCGGGTTTCAATCGATTTGAAGAAAAAGCTTTCAATCATCTGAAGTGAAAGCGAGGATGTTCGGAAGAGCTCCGAAGAAAAGTGACAACACGCGGTACTATGAGATCCTTGGAGTCTCCAAGAACGCGTCGCAGGATGATTTGAAGAAGGCTTACAAAAAGGCTGCTATCAAGAATCATCCTGACAAGGGTGGTGATCCGGAGAAGGTAACGGGGTTTTTGTTTTGAATTGTCTGATTTCTTTTAGTTTCTATTGAATCTGACTGTGAATTTTGTTGGAATGGTAGTGATTAATGAGGTTAAGATTTGCTTCTTTTGGAGTATCTCCTTCAATTAATCTGTGTTTTCGTTATTTTGTCGTGTGTTCATGGTTTTGTTTGTGCCTTTGTTCGTCGATCATGATTCTAGTGTTGATACTGGAACTCCATAATCTGAAATATACGAATCTCAATGGATTTTGTAATTGCCATTCTTTGTAAGGTGTTTTTCTCCCTCTAGCACCATTTCCTGTGGTGGCTGTGAGGCCGTGAAGTGAGCAGAGCTCGGAATCTACTGATACCTCCGTGTTTTTTTAATCTAATTTCCACTTTTGAGGTGTCTTGGCTTGTAGGTTTAGGTTCTTGTTTATGGTGATTTGATTTTCATATAAGCCTGGATTGCCGTAGATTCTTACAGGGATCATTATATTGTCTTGAGCTACTTTTGATGTGATGCGTTGCGCATATGCTGATGGAATACGTCGTTTTTTATTGCAGTTTAAAGAGTTGGCTCAGGCTTATGAGGTTCTTAGCGATCCTGAGAAGCGAGAGATCTATGATCAGTATGGTGAGGACGCACTTAAAGAAGGAATGGGTGGTGGAGGTGGTCATGACCCCTTCGATATCTTCCAATCCTTCTTCGGTGGAAGTCCATTTGGTGGTGAGTATTATGAACAAAATCTTATGTTTTGGTTGTATCATTAATGAAGACACGATTGAGAGTGATTTTGAAATGGTTTTAATCACTTCAGTTTACTCCCAAAACATGCATAAACCAAATAGGGGTCTTAATGATTTCTTACTGTTCTTTCGAAAATTGGATCGGGTGGGCGAGAATTGATGGAGAGGGCCATGAACATTATGCAAGGAGTGAAGCATTTCTGTTATTCCTTATTATAGAAGAAAAATCTTAGTGTCATCGTTCGTATGCAGGTGGTAGCAGCAGAGGCCGACGCCAGAGAAGGGGAGAGGATGTTGTCCATCCCCTTAAGGTCTCCCTTGAGGATCTTTACCTTGGAACTTCCAAGAAACTCTCTCTGTCGCGGAATGTTATCTGCTCAAAATGCAATGGGTTAGCCCTGTTTCTATCCTTTCAGTATTATTGTTTAGATTCATGCCTCGGGTGCTGATGTTTGTTGATGGTGGTGTTTCAGCAAGGGATCAAAATCAGGTGCTTCAATGAGCTGTTCTAGCTGCCAAGGAACTGGAATGAAGGTCACAATTCGGCACCTCGGCCCGTCGATGATCCAGCAGATGCAGCACCCTTGCAATGAATGCAAGGGCACCGGAGAAATGATCAGCGACAAGGACCGGTGTTCGCAATGCAAGGGAGAGAAAGTTGTTCAAGAGAAGAAGGTTCTTGAAGTTATTGTGGAGAAGGGTATGCAGAATGGACAGAAAATTACATTCCCTGGAGAAGCAGATGAAGCTGTATGTTGCGAATTAATCATTCTTCAGTTGTTTAAATGATTTTGTGTTGGTACTTATTGGTTGTGTTTCCGTGTTTGAACAGCCCGATACTGTCACTGGAGATATAGTTTTTGTTCTTCAGCAAAAGGAGCACCCAAGATTCAAGAGAAAGGGAGAGGACTTGTTTGTGGAGCACACTTTGTCGCTCACTGAAGCTCTCTGTGGCTTCCAGTTTGCTCTCACTCACTTGGATGGCAGACAGCTTCTCATCAAAACAAATCCTGGAGAAGTTGTAAAGCCTGGTAAGCAGAGCATCGAATCTGTTCTAATTTACACGCTTGAACTTTTAGTTTAGTGATACTTAACTTAATATTATAGAAGAAGATTTTGAGTTTGAATCACTGGCATTATAATTCTGTGTTTAGTTTTGCCCATTAGCTGATGTGATTTAGTACTAGTCCAACACCCTAGACCCCTAGGAACAACCCTGTTGTCTAAGGCTTGCGATCCAGCAACACGTGTTCAATGATCCTAGGTTCGAATTCTAACCCTGTTGGCTAAGGCTTGCGATCGAGCAACATGTGCTCAATGATTGCAGGTTGTCTAAGGCTTGCTTCTTGGATGGGCTTAATAAGAAAATCCTTGAGGTCTCTTTTAAGTTTTGTTTTCTCTTTCCCCTACTGAGTTTTGGGAACCCCTTTTGTGTATGGAACACCAGATTCATTCAAGGCCATCAACGACGAGGGAATGCCGATGTACCAGAGGCCATTCATGAAAGGGAAGCTCTACATCCATTTCAGTGTGGACTTCCCTGATTCCTTGAGCCCAGAACAGATTAAAGCTTTGATGACTGTCTTGCCACCGAAGCCATCATCCCAACTGACCGACATGGAGCTGGACGAGTGCGAGGAGACAACAATGTATGATGTCAACATCGAAGAGGAGATGCGGCGGAAGCAGCAGCAAGCACAGGCCGAGGCCTATGAGGACGATGATGACATGCCTGGTGGCGCACAGCGGGTGCAGTGTGCCCAGCAGTGATCGGATCCGATTCGATCCTCTTTTGAGCTGAAATTAACCAAACCAGAGATCACTAAATGTTAGGGTTGTTTGGGGATTGATGGTTGATGAACTCCACCTTGTTAATGGCAGTTTTTTGTTTGGAATTTCTCATATTCCGGATGCCGTTACTGATACAATACATAAATGAATGGGGTCTGATATATGTGAACTTCTATTTTATTATATAATTACAAGTGCTGTTGTAATTCCTACCTTCTTGCTAGGCTTCCTTATATTTAACCACGAAAAGGGACACACACATAGATGTCTCGGATCAAGTTCTTGTTAATGTTTGCGCTCACTCCAGTGCTTGGGTTCTTCCTCGTGGTAGACCCCTTCTTAATGGTCAATTGATTGGCATGTCAGTCAATGGCGCACTTCTTAGACAGACTTTTACTCTGAAGGGTGGGGAGTACATAGCATGTCAAGGTTTCTCATCTTGTCATCTAAGTTGAAGGTTGGTTGTATTTAGGTCATACACAACCCATGGGTGGGTGTTGGTGATGGGTGTTGGAGAGACTTAACCTCATGTTTTTGAGACATATTTGGTACGTTTGATTTAGCTCTAGAATAATGCCTCGTCTTTTTTAGTTGCATATCTTTGCCTTCACATAGTCCACATAGTCGGATGGATGGGAGTTTAGCTGCTTTGTCTAACGTCTAACTATAATGTGAAAGTTACAACGTTGTAACTTTACTTAGTTGTGGGCGATAGAAGCATTTATGTACATAAAGTCTCAAGCACACAAATTTTTAAAATTTTGAAAACGAGTCAAATTTCTCAAATAACAAATAGTTTTTTTTTTTTTTTTTTTTTAAGATTATAAGAAGTCGGACCTACATTAAAATTAAATCAAATCATATGTAAATCAAATTTAATATTAATTTCATTATTTAAGTCATTATTTATTCATTGATAGCATAGAATTCAATTAAATAAATTTAAAACTTTACACCGTTAGAATCAACTCACCTAACCCAACTCTAAGACACGTAACTAACCATTTTTAAAATAATTTTTTTTGTGATATAAAATAATAATAATAATAATAAGAACAAATTGGTTGAGGTAATAAAAAAACAAAAAGGACAACACTTTGTTCTAACGCGCGTCCAATCATGAAGGGTGGCGTGGGCCCTCACCCGAATTCATTACGATGGGTCATCGTCGATCTTCCACTATCCCCTCGAACGACGTCGTTCAATTGCAGTTCTCAAATTTCCTCGAGCGGTTTTTTTTTGTTCTTTAATTTCTTCTCACGTTGTCCTTCTCACTGGTTCACTCCTTTTTATCAGGTTTAAGATGACGATCCTTGTTTTGCTGAAACAGATTGATGGCTGGTGGATAGATATCTTCAACCAAATTGAAATTTTTTGGTGACCCAAATGATTGAACTGAGTTGGGTTTGACTCATTTTGACTGATTGATGGATCAGACGGCTCCTGAGGTATCTTCCCCCTTCCCCCTCCACTTCCCTCATTGACTTTCTTGTTCTTCAACTCCCTTCCACTCACTATGAGCTGAGTTCTTCGATGAACTTGCCTTATTTGGACTGTAATTTGTGCTGATCTGCTGCTATAAGTTGCATTTAGGGTTTTAATATGGGTTTGTGTTGTAGAGTTATAGGTGTTCTTAAGTCCACTGGGGGTTTCTTTATTTGTTCTGATTCCTGAAGAATGTGCTTAAGAACAATCCAGGCCTCTGTATTATCCTTTCAGAACTGACGTTCACCATTGATGTATGTCTATGAAGTTTGCCATTTGTAAGTGTTTGGAGGACATAATTTGATGATATTGGAAGTTCTTTTTATAGATGTCTTGTGTCATGTTCTTGACTGTTGTTCATTTGCATTTAAATTCATAATGTCGTGAGTTTTTATCTCTAAGGGCTGGAGGCTTATGTTTCTGTAAGTGATGTGTTCTTGTTTGTTTTTTTCTTGATTTTGGTAGTGTTCTTATGTTCTTATGTTGGCAGTTAGCTGGATCTTTGGCTACTCGATCCGCGTTGTCGTGGGAATGTTTTTAATGGTGATTTTTATCTTCTGTTCTTTGTAGGTTGCAAGAAATCTGGGAAATTTGCTTGTTGTGCAACTGAAATGAACATAAATAACTCCGTGGAATAGTGATTTGATATCGAAGTCGAAACGTGGGTGAACCCGAATTGTTGAGGTTAGTGTCTTTTCATAGTAACTTCAATTTTCATAGTAACCCGAATTGTTGAGGTGGGTGAGCCCGATTTGAGAAGAAGGTCTTAGAAAATTGGAGCATAGAGATTTTGAAAGAGAGAGATTGAAATCAATGTTATATGGCATACAAGCAAAAAGCAACCCAACGGCTTTAGTAGCATATAACTTTCCGGGTAGGGAGAATTTGACAACCAGTCGCACCCCCTATACTACATTTTGAGGCGATTTAGGTTTGGTAAACCTAGACGTGATTTCGCCGAACAGTCATACAAAATCAAGGGGAGGAGTTGACAACTAGTCACACCTCTCTATAGGTACATTTTAGGGCAATTCAGGTCTAGTAGGTCTAGGGTCATACGAACAGAAAATACAATAGTAAGGCAATACAACATGGAACAAAATTAAAGGGTTTGGCGTGACATGGGCATGCGGCCGCGAGCAACACGCCTTGGACGAGCATGACCGTGACACCTAGTAGATGCGTTTTTAAAAGCCTTTAAGGGAAGCTCGAAGGGAAAACCCCAAAGAGGACAATATTTGCTAGCGGTGTGCTTGGATCATTACAATACACCTATTTTTTTAGTCTTCCTGTCGGAATTTCTTTGCAAAATATCTTTCCTTGACGGAATTTTATTCATATTTGTAACGAGCTAGTCTTCTTTCTGCAGTCTTTACTCTCTGGTTGTCTTTCCTGACATATTCTCTTTGAAAGACAGGTTCTAGCTGTTGGTCTGTTCTTGTTCAACGCAACCATGGGAGTTTCAGGAAAATGGTTCAAAGCGTTAGTTGGTTCAAAGAAGTCAGAAAAATCTCAATCATCAGAACACGATGAAAACGCGGTATCTATAATTCTATACCCTTCTCGTTGATGTTCAATGCGAGTTTCAATGGCTTTATCTTTCGGTTGACAACCTTGAGGAAGATACTTTTACTTGTAACTTTGAATTTAATGATTCCTTGTGTGAAATGAAGCTAATTGATACCTAAACTTTAGACCTTCAACTTTTGTTGGACACATGAACAATTACTTCGAAAAGATAATTTCTTTTTGATAGCAAGTTCCCTTCAGATTCCACTGATCGACTGGAGAAGGGAACGAGTGTCAGTTAGGACGCTGGGCCCTGAAGGGGGGTGGATTGTGAGATCCTACCTCGATTGGGGAGGAGAACGAAACACTCTTTATAAGGGTGTGGAAACCTCTCCCTAGCAGACGCGTTTTAAAAACCTTGAGGGGAAGTCCGAGAGGGAAAGCCCAAAGAAGACAATATCCGTTAGCGGTGGGCTTGGGCTATTTCAAATGGTATTAGAGTCAAACATTAGGCAATGTGCCAACAAGGAGGCTAGGCTCCGAAGGGGGGTGGACACGAGGTGGTGTGCCAACGAGGATGCTGGACCCCAAAAATGGGCGGATTGTGAGATCCCACATTGGTTGGGGAAGAGAACAAAACACTGGTGTGGAAATCTCTCCCCGGCAAACGCGTTTTAAAAACCTTGAGGGAAAGCCCGATAAGAAAAGCTCTTTATAAGGGTGTGGAAACTTCTTCCCAGCAATCACATTTTAAAAACCTTGAGGGAAAGTACGATAGGGAAAGTTCAAAGAGGACAATATCGAAAGTCCGATAGGAAAAGTTCAAAGAGGACAATATATGCTAGCGGTGAGCTTGGACTTTCTTTTTGAAGGCAAATGGCTGAGTTTTCCATTAGTTTCATGACTTTTTTTTTCTTCTTGCGAACTAATTGAAATACTCTATATCTTTTCTCTATGTTGTGGATGGAACGGTGCTATTCACGATACTTCGACGTTCGAATATCCTTTTTTATGTCTTTTCTTTGATCATACAGAGGACAGCCACCAACAAGTTTTGGCATCGGAGAAAGCATTCGATTGATATCGATGCAGATAAACTTCAGCACGAGTTTAATTCGAATTTTACCCCATTTGTTGAAGAGTCCAATGCTCTTTCCGATCCAGGAACTGCTTCTATTCCTTCTGATTCACTTCAAACATATGATGCATTGCATAATCAACACAACGATATAGAAGAACAGGCCGCGATATGCATCCAAACCATGTTTCGAGGATTTCTGGTATTGCTAGTACTAATTTATTCGTGTTTTTCGCATTACTTTTCTTCAATTCATTTTATGTAAAGTTTATCAGTGAAACAATGAAAATTGTATTTAAAGTATAGTTGTTGAAGAGGGAGGTCAAGTTAAACTAAATTAGAGCTAAAAAGAGAGAGATTCTAAGAAGCTATCAAAAAAGGTTGTTGCAAAGAGGGCAAAGAGCAACATATATGTTATGGATAACATTCCAAGCTTACCGCTAGTAGATATTGTACGCTTTAGCTTTTTACGTTTCACCGTCAACCTTATGGTTTTAAAACGCGTCTATTATGGAGAGATTTCCATACCCTTATAAGGAATGCTTTGTTCGCCTCTCCAACCGATGTGAGATCTCACATTCCATTGCCCTTGGGGGGCTAGCGTCCTCACTAGCACACCGCTCGGTAACCTGGCTTTGATACCATTTGTAACAGTCCAAGCCCACCGCTAACAGATATTGTCCACTTTGTCCCTTTGAGAAACAAAGCATTCCTTGTAAGAGTGTGGAAACCTCTCCCTTATAGACGCGTTTTAAAACTGAGGCTGATGGTGATACGTAACGGGCTAAAACGTACAATATCTGCTAGTGGTGGGCTTGAGCTATTACAAATGATATTAGAGCTAGGCACCAGGCGGTGTATTAGTGAGGACGTTGGGCTCCTTAACAGACGCGTTTTAGAAACTGTGTATAGATGCATGCCTTTTCTTATTCTTGATTTTGTAGTTTATAAATCTAAACTCTTTCATGTGAATATTCTTCTCATTATCTTTCAGGCTAGAAGAGCTCTCCGAGCTCTCAAAGGATTGGTTAGACTTCAAGCTCTTGTCAGGGGTCATGCTGTCAGAAAACAAGCTGCAATAACTCTACGCTGTATGCAAGCTTTAGTGAGAGTTCAGGCTCGTGTTCGAGCAAGGCATGTACGTATTGCATTGGAAAGTGAAACTGCACAACAAAAACTTCAACAACAAATTGAAAACCAAGCTCGAGTTCGAGAAATTGAAGTAAGAAATAAGCAATTTTTGTAAGATTACAAAGTATATAACATTTATACTTGTATGTGCACTTCTAACTGTTTCGACTTTTAAGTTAGACTATGTGAGATACCACATTGGTTGGAGAGCGGAACGAAACATTCCTTATAAGGGTGTGGAAACCTCTCCCTAGCAAACGCGTTTTAAAACCGTGAGGCTGACAGTGATACATAATGGGGTAAAACAGATAATATTTGTTAGCGGTGGGCTTGGGTTATTACAAACAGTATCAAAGTCAGACACCGGGCGATGTGCCGCGAGGACGCTGGGCTTCCAAAAGGGATAGATTATGAGATCCCACATCGGTTGGAGAGGGGTACGCAACATTCCTTATAAGAGTGTGTAAACCTCTCCCTAGCATACACGTTTTAAAACTGTGAGGCTAATGGCGATATGTAACGGGCCAAAACGGATAGTATCTATTAATAGTGGGCTTGGGCTGTTACAAATGGTATCAGAGCTAGACACCGGGCGATGTGCTAGTGAGGATGTTGGACTCCTAAAAGGGGTGGATAGTGAAATCCCAGTTGGAGAGGGGAACGAAACATTCCTTATAAATGTGTGGAAACCTCTCCCTAGTAGACGCGTTTTAGAACCGTGAGGTTGACGACGATACGTAACGGGCCAAAGTGGACAATACCTGCTAGCGGTGGATTTGGGCTGTTACATGAATATAATGGGACGACCACCGACCACCTTTAGATGCTTCTACTATGTCTCCCCTTTTTAATAACTCACAATATTGCACTGCTTGCAGTTTTTATAATTGATCGCCAAATGCTTTCTGTGAGACTCTTAATGATTGTGCCTATTGTACAGGATGGTTGGTGCGACACTGTTGGATCTGTTGAAGAAATTCAAGCAAAGTTGTTAAAAAGGCAGGAGGCTGCTGCTAAGCGTGAGAGAGCCATGGCATATGCTCTGGCTCATCAGGTAGAACAAGTCCATCCCTCATCTGCTCTATATTTTGATTTCATTTCCCACTACCTGCTACAATGGGAAACAATTTTGTTCTTTTAAATCTCTCGTCTCATTGAGTGAAAGACGGGTTTCTTCGTAAAAGACTTATGTTGTAATAGTCCAAGCCCATCACTAGCAGATATTGTCTTCTTTGGGCTTTTCCTTTCGAGTTTCCCCTCAAGATTTTTAAAAAAACGTGTATGCTAGGGAGAGGTTTCCACACTCTTATAAAGAATGTTTCGTTCTCTTTCCCGACCGATGTGGGATCTCACAATGCACCCCCTTCAAGGTCCAGCGTCTTCGTTGGCACTTGTTCCTCACTCCAATCGATGTGGGATCTCACAATTCACCTCCTTTCGGGTCTAGTATTCTCGCTAACACTCGTTTCTCTCTCCAATCGATGTGAGATCTCACAATCTATCCTCCTTCGCACCGCCTGTTGTTTGCTTCTGATACCATTTGTAACAGCCCAAGCCCACAACAGATGTTCTTTTCGGGCTTCCCCTCAAGGTTTTTAAAACGCGTCTATTAGGGAGAGGTTTTCACACCTTTATATAGAATACTTCATTCAACTCCCCGACTAATGTGGGAACTCATAATCCACCCCCCTTCAGGGCCCAGCATCCTAGCTGGCACTCGTTCCCCTCTCCAATCGATGTGAGATCTCACAATCCACCACCTTCGGGGCTCAGTATTTTCGCTAGCACTCGTTCCCCTCTCCAATCGATGTGGGATCTCACAATCCACCCCCTTCGGGGCTCAACGTCCTCGTTGACACTCGTTCCTTTCTCCAATCCACATGGGATCTCAAAATCCACACCCCCTTTGGGGCCAGCGTCCTCACTAGCATACCGTCTAGTGTCTGACTCTGATACCATTTGTAACAGCCCAAGTCCACCACTAGCAGATAATATCCTCTTTGGACTTTCCCTTTCGGGCTTCCCCTCAAGGTTTTTAAAATGCATCTGCTAGAGAGAGGTTTCCACACCCTGATAAAGAATGTTTCGTTCTCCTCCTCAACCGTTGTAACCCGGATAATTCATCCTTTGTTTTCTTTGTCTTGTTCACAATACATTGGAAGCCTAATTATAACAAAACTCAAAATTTATGTTCGATGTATAGCTCTGATGAATTTTCTCTCATCTTCAGTGGCAAGCAGGAACAAGACAACAGGCTGCCCTCTTCCAGTTTGAACCAGATAAAAGCAGCTGGGGTTGGAACTGGTTGGAAAGATGGATGGCTGTTCGTCCGTGGGAAAACCGCTTTCTCGACATCAATCTCAAAGACGGAGTGATGATTCGTGAGAACGGATCAGCTGAGGGAAAAAGTAACACTAAATCTTATTTACAAACTACTGGCAAGAAAACAAACTTAGTGACTGATCAACCAAACCTCTCAAGCCAAAGAACCGCTGCCTCGCATTCTGATGGATGTGGTTCGTCATCCCCGACTAAGTCAGCTGGCATTGTAGAGGTATCTAGTGCACAGATTCAAAAGCTCAAGCATAAACTTGCACCTGAGAGGCCACTTGAACAAGTCAAACCTAAAGTAGATACCGGTTTAAGATCACGTAGCAATCCGAAAGAGAGATCTGCACCATTGATAAACAATGCAAAGAAGCGATTATCCCTGCCTAATAATGGTGAGTTTACTTACTCTTTTCGTGATATCCCACATTTATTGGAGAGGGGAACGAGTGATAGTGAGCATGCTGGGCTCCGAAGAGAGGTGGATTATGAGATCCCACCTCGGTTGGAAAGGGGAACGAAACATTCTTTATAAGAGTGTGGAAACCTCTCCCTAGCCGACGTGTTTTAAAAACTTTGAGAGGAAGCTCGAAAGGGAAAGCTGAAAGAGGATAATATCTGCTAGTGGTGGGCTTGAGCTGTTACAAATGAATATCAGAGCCAGATACGGGGCAGTGTGCCAACGAGGACACTGGATCTCAAAAGGGGTGGATTGTGAAATCCCACGTCGATTTGAGAGAGGAACGAGTGCCAGCTAGTATGCTGGGCCCTGAAAGAGGGTGGATTGTGAGATCCCACATCGATTGGAGAGGGGAACGAGTACCAACGAGAACGCTGGACCTTAAAAACATTCTTTATAAGGGTGTGAAAATTTCTCCCTTGCAGACGCGTTTCTTAAATGGAAACCCCAAAGAGGACAATATCTATTAGCGGTGGGTTTGAACTATTACACTTATTTACTCTTAGGCTCGCGTTCTATATACATGCTTATGTCTATTGTGCGATATTTGACGTTATCATTAGGTCACTCCAAAGTGTTTTCAATTGGTTGTAGTTAGCATTAGACCTTTCTCAATGAACCGAAGAATCCTATGACTCGAGCAACTTCTTAATCTACATTTATTTGAACAATTGCAGATCCTGGTAGTCAAAATCGAACGGTGAGAAGCTCGGCTGGCAAAGCGACCGTTGAACCGAAGCCGATATCGAGAGGTGACTCAAAAGCTACAAAACCCGGATCACAAAACTGATAAGTGAACTAAACACATTCCAAACGACGAGGAAAACCGTTCGAGACGTATAGTTTTTGGGGATGTGCTGCAGGATCATGTGTAAATATGGCAACGTCATGTTATGATCGGGTCGGTCGCTAGCAAATTTGTGTTCCTTTGAATTTATGAGTTTATTTACAGTGAGTTGTTGCAATGGTTGGCAAATGTATGAGGGAATAAGGTTGGTTTGGTGAGTATCATTGGGGGAGTATGTAATTGTTCATCAGTGTTTATGGTCTTCAACCATGTGGATATTTGGTCTTGTTAATTTTTTACTCCCTTTGTATATTTGTTGTTCAATGTTTGGTTTCGAAGAAGAAAATGTTAAAACGATCGATAAATAATTAGTCATTCACGAGCTTGATTTGATTTATTGGAAGCATAGGATGTGTGAGAGAGAAGTCGATAGAGGTGTCAACGAGGCGGGATAGAGATAGAAAAACTTGCCTCCTATTTCAATATTATAACATAACTTTCACACTTATAGATGATGTCGATGGCTGAGGTAGAGTACTCAATGGGCTAGGGTGGCCTCATTTCACCTTTACCAACCCCAAGAAAATTTCGAATACAGGTCTAGATCATTCATACAGACAGACTTTTGGGGTGCTAATATTCAAAGTTGAGAGAGAAACAGCCTAGATCATACGCTAAGGTCCCTAAGCAACCATTTAGTGGAAAAGGAAGTGATTGAGCGATGACAACAAGGAGATGGGACCGAGACGGAGATTAGGACGAGGGATATAATCTCCAACCCTATTTGGCTCATAGGAAGAAATCTCTCCCTCCTTTCTCTGTTACCCGTTCAATTGAGAATTTTCCACCCGTTAGATGAACATCTCTAAAAGTATTTATTTTTTTTTTAGTGAATGCGACTTTTTGTTGACCAAAGTGTAGAAAAGATTCCCACCTAATTTAGCAAGGTAAATTCCTCTCAGCCAATTGATGACTAATTGGGTCAGAGTTGTTGACCAAACCAAAGGTCAAAGATAAATTATATATATATATATATATATTAAATAATAAATACCAAAATTAATTTGAGTTTTTGTTTATGGATTTAATTTAAAAAATAATTTAAAAAATAAAAATAAAAAAGTAACGAAATTTATCAAACCAACCGACAAATATAATTCAAGTTGATTCTCCCAGGTGTGTCGGTGTTGGGTTTTTTTCTCTCTCCTTTGACTATGACTTTTTATAATTTGAATATTATCATTAATTAGCAAATGACTAGGAAAATTTCTTTGACTAGGTATTATTTGTTGGACAAAGTCAAAATCATTGACTTCAAAATAATTAAATAATTAAATTATATGAAACCATTTAATTCAAATAAATACCCTTCCGGATTAGAATTGACCGGACCTAAATATTCTTAATCTTCGTACTAATCTTAAAGGTTGATTTGGATTGTTATCCGATAAAAAAAAATGTCAATTTGCGAACCGACCCCAATTTTCGATTTTTACAAAATTCAACTCGACCCAAACTAAAAAAAAAAATTAACACAACCCAACCTTTATGGTTTGGGGCGAGTGGTTTGAGTTGGTCGGATTATCGAGTCATATGAACACCCCTAATTTACCATGTAATTTATAGAAATTGACATAATAATTAATGTATAAAAATTGATTATGTAAATTGTTGATTAGGTTTAAGGCAAAGTCTAGGTGAGGATACGATTTATTGAGCTAACTAAGCATAAATCAAACTGAGGATACGACTTATCGAGCTAACTAAGTATAAGTCAAGGCGAGGCTACGACGTATCAAGCTAACTAAACATAAGTTGACTTGATGATACAACTTATCGAGTTAACTAAGTATAAGTCAAAGCGATGATACGACTTATTGAGCTAACTAAGCATAAGAAAAGTCAAGGATACGGCTTATCGAGCTAACTAAGTATAAGTCAAGTTGCGGATACGACTTATTGAGCTAACTAAGATAAGAAAAGTTGAGGATACGGATTATCAAGCTAACTAAGTATAAGTCAAGTTGAGGATACAACTTATCGAGCTAACTAAGCATAAGTCGAGCCGAGGTATAGGTCTTACATCCCTTAATCCTTGTCAATACATCGTATGACGTTGACATGACAATGAAAATAAGGTAGGTATTAATGACATGGTCATTTCATCTCTTCTCTCCGGATTTATTATTTTTTTTATTATTGTATTTTTTAAGTGTTCATATGACTCGAGAACTCGCATATGTCAGAATATCCAACTTAGAATATAAAGGTTGGGTTAAGTTAGATTTCTTTTCGGTTTAAGTTAGGTTGACTTTTTTAGAAAACTGAAAAACTTGAGTCAATTCACAAGTTGACATTTTTTGGTCGGGTTAACCCGACCAACCCAAAAATACGTTTTCAACAAATCAAGCTTTTAAAATTTTTTAGATTTTAATTATTAATGCAACGTATATATTAAATAAGATATTTAGTACGTTTAAAACTTATTTTTTAAAAAATAAAATCCATAATATAATAAACTATATATAGCTTAAAAAATAATTGAAACTATTTGACTTTCTAAGTTCATATAAAGATTTACGACCAATTTTAGTAAATCATTAATTAACTTAGTATAATAAATGACATTATTAATTTTTTTTTCTATAGTCACAATTATTTTTTTATGTCCTATTTTTCAATATTTTATTTAATTAGATTTTTTTTTGGATAATTAAATTATAAAATTTTAATATAATAATTTATGTTTATTCAGCTTAATCTTATATTTTAATAATACTCAATAAATTTAATAATAATATTTATCATTTTACACACAATACAAATATATTTTTAAAAATTTATTACAGCTGATACAAAATATTGGAAATAATTTAAAAATAATAAGTACATAGTTTTAAGACGCCGTTAATTCACGGAACCTTGTCGGAGTCAAAGGTTGGGTTCTCCTCCTTCACCCTTCCGCCTCCCTCCTTCCTCGTCGCCCATTCTCAGTCCTCTTCGCCATCGCAATCTCTCCGACGTCTCTCTCTCTCTCGCTCGCCGGAGCTCACAGTGGCTGAGTTTCATGAATCAAAGCTCTCCCAGAAATCCATAGTCTCCGCCGCTTCTTCTTCTTCGTCGTCGCTTTCTGTCACGATTCCAGACCATAATCACCATTTTTCCACCAGATTTTCCTTCAATTCATCGCACTTTCCTGCCTTGAGAATCGTAATTCCTCTCCCACTTCCTTCCATGTTCTCAAATCCATTCGTTCTCTCTTTCTCCCTCATCCTTTCTCTCCCAATCCTCTTCCTTCTTGCTCCTCGATTCATCCCTTCAAGGCCGCAATCCATTCCAATCCCGCCGCCTGATGAGAACGACGATCTCTTCCTCTTCAGTCGCGCCTCCGCCGGATCTAATGCTAACAATCCATCAACCTTCTCTCATCTCTCTTCCACCAATCCGAAATTGAAGATTGCCTTCCTGTTTCTTACTAATTCCGACCTCCATTTCGCTCCTCTTTGGAGTCGTTTCTTCCCTAATAACTCTGATCTTTACAATATTTATGTTCATGCCGATCCTTCCGTTAATATTTCGCGCCCTGGTGGCCCTTTTCTAGGGCGTTTTATTGTTTCGAAGCGGACTTATCGTGGTTCTCCAACTCTCATCTCTGCCACGCGCCGCCTTATCGCGACGGCGATGATTGATGATCCGGCTAATGCGTACTTCGCTCTCTTGTCTCAGTATTGTATTCCTCTTCATTCGTTTTCTTATGTCTATAATTCTCTGTTTTCTTCGACGACTTTTGATTCAATCTCCACTGAGTCCGAGCTTACCCGGATAGGTGTGCGGATTCGATTCAAGAGTTTTGTGGAGATTGTCTCGAAAGAACGGCATCTCTGGAAGAGGTATAATGCCAGGGGTCGATTCACGATGATGCCTGAGGTCCCGTTTGAGAAATTTCGTGTTGGATCTCAGTTCTTCGTGTTGACTAGAAAGCACGCATTGGTGGTTGTTAATGATCGGACGTTGTGGAAGAAATTTAGGATTCCTTGCCGAAGTTCTGATGATTGTTACCCTGAAGAACACTATTTTCCAACTCTTCTTTCGATGAAGGATCTGAGTGGCTGCACACAGTACACGCTAACTCGGGTTAATTGGACTGGAACTGCTAATGGGCATCCTTATACTTATCGGAGTTCAGAAGTTTCTCCTAAGCTTATTCACCAGCTACGGAAATCCAATTATTCAGAATCTTACTTGTTTGCCCGGAAATTCACACCGGATTGCTTGAGACCGCTGATGGGTATGGCAAAGTCTGTGATTTTCAGAGACTGAGACCTGTTACTGGTAAGTTGAATGTGTTTAGAAGTTGTTTATTTACTTGATTTGCAGCTCGCTTTCCATATTCCCTTTGGTTATAGAATTCTAGTTGTGAGTTTGTATCTTTGCTGATGAGTCTGACATAGTTTTTCCTAATTTGTGAATGGTTGGTTGACGTAACAGACCCGACCAAAACCATACTGCTAGTCGATATTGTTCTTTTTGGGCTTTCCTTTCTAGGCTTTAGTCGATATTGTTCTCTTTGGGCTTTTCTTTCTAGGCTTTCCCTCAAAGTTTCAAAACGTGTATTCTAGAGAGAGGTTTCCACACAATCAACCCCTTCGGGTATCAGCTTCCTTGCTGTACTCGTTACTCTCTCCAATCGATGTGGGATCTCACAATTCACCCCCTTTGGAGCCAGCGTCCTCGCTGGCACACTGCTCGGTGTCTACTCCCCTTCGGAAAGACCCTCATTACTTTCATTGCCATACTAGAAAGACCCTCATCCTCCTTTGGAAACTTTGAAGTTTTGGATGCACTTCATTCTCTAGATTTTGAGACTTGAAGAACATGAGCAATGTGTTTTTTACTATCTCAGTTTATATCACAAGTCCAGTTTACTATAGATTTTGTACCCTTCTGGCTAACTAGTGAAAAGGGTAGCTCATGTCCTGTGTGCTGCATTATTACAGGTTAAAGACAAAAGAAATGATGTCGGGCCAGTGCTGTAGCTTTACTTCTTGATAAGGAAGAAGAAAAAGAAAAAGTTGTGTGTGGGAATATGGCTATGAAGAGGCGCCAAAGTGCCCACAGCCTGTAAGCCCACAATCATCCAGAGAAGTGCCAGTCCAGACAAAGCTTCGGACAAAGCATAGTTCGGGAAGAGATACGAGTGAAACAAAATGCAAGGTACTCTCGTCGAAAGCTGTATTATATTAATAATTTCTTCCACTTTTTGTTCCTTGTATTTTGATTATGTAACAGTAGTTACTGGCGGAAGAACTTGGAAAAAAAAAAAAGAATCAATTCTCCTGTCATTTCTAAGGTTTCTTTCTTGTACATATGTAACATCATGGAAGGTTTGAAGAATGGAAAAGGATTATTGGGTCACTGGGAATTATGAAGGTTGTCATGCTTCTATGCTCTTTCATTTTTGGCCTCTTTCGCCCTTCAAACCTTAGTTTTCCTTTACTCTTCCTAATCCTCGAGATTTTAGCTTTTAATTTCCTAATGTTTTTGTGAGGATGGATGGAGATACGAGGAAATGTTTCACTCACGGTTTTAATAAGCTTAGCTTTGATAAAAAGTCGATCAGTTTCAATTGTAAGTTTGAGTGTTAGGGATAACGACTCTTCACATGTCTTCACAGTGGTATGACATTGTCTACTTTGAATATAGACTCTCGTGGTTTTATATTTGGTTCTCTCAAAAGGCCTCAATATCAATGGAGATAGTGTCCTCACTTATGTACCCATGATCTTTCCATTACTTGGCTAATGTGAGACTCCAACAATTCTCGAACGAGTACCACTAAACCTCCTTTTAAATAGTCATCTATATGTGTCTGTCTAGTGCTATCCAAGCTAACTACTACAAATCTTCACTATGAGTTTATCTTCGAGGCTCAGAACTTCTTTGTTCGATACTCAAGGATTTCCCAATATGGGTTAGTTGGGGCATGACTCTAATACTATGTTGCTAGTATAAACTATCTCGCTATCAATTTTCAATTTATTTTCAGATAGATACGAGACAAAAAGGCTAATTAAATCTCTATATACTAGGTATCAATAAATTTGAATAAATCTCTCTACTTTTCTTATTTAATGAGATTACACAAATATCTACTGGTACTTGGCACAAATATTCCTTAAAGTCACTCCTTCAACAATTAAGCTTAGATTCGGAAAGCCTAAGCTTGTATAATCCGAATTGTAAGAAGGAATAGGTTATAGAAACTCGAGTTTGTGTAACATGTAATTTGCAACTGTTTAATTTTTTTTTTTTTGAATCTTGATGATTTGAGGAAAAATGCCTCCTCTGTTATGGGAATCATAAGTAGGATGTGTTCTTAATTAAGTATACAAGATTCGCACTCTTGTGAAAATTCTGTGCTCGATTAGTTTCGAAATCTCGAACGATATTCATTCAGAACCTTTTCTCTGTGGTTTAGTTAGCTAGTAAGCTTGGTTGTTCTTAATTTGATACTCATTACTTGGGATGTGTAGCCATGTTGCCTTAAATTGCTAGGGATTGTCACTATTGATATCTAACGTGTTCCACCTAACACGTTTTATGTTCTCTGCTTCTTAGAATTCACTGCTAAATTAAGTTTGCTGATGTCTGAATTCAAGATTTAGCTAACCATCATTTTAGGATAGTAGGTAAATTAGTTGAACCATCATTAGTTAGTGTATTTTTAGTTGAACTATCATTAATGCCTATATATTTATTTGGTGCAAACAGAAGTGATGGAGAATACTGTTGAATGTTCTTATTACCTAGTCTGATTAATGGATAGAAAAGTAAGGTTTTATGAAGGCTTTGGCTCTAAGTTGGCTACCTGGTAAACCAGTCTCGAACTCTAGACTAGTCAGCAGTAAGTACATAAATAAAATCCTCCTACTGACTAGTCTTGACTCGAGTTTTAAGTCACTTATGAGAATTATTTAGGAGGATAATTGTAATAGCCCAAGCTCACTGCAAGAAGATATTGTTTCTTTGAGCTTTCACTTTTGGGATTCTCCCTCAAAGTTTTTAAAACGAGTCTGATAAGGAGAAGTTTTAACACCCTTATAAAGAAAGTTTTGTTCATCTTTCCAACTGATGTGGGATCTCACAATCCACCCCCTTGGGGGCCAGCCTCCTCGCTGAAACACCGCTTGGTACTTGCCCTTGATACCATTTGTAACAGCTCAAGCATACTACTAGTAGATATGTTTTAGCACGTTACAAATAGCCGTCAGTCTCACGATTTTAAAACATGTCTACTAAAAAGAGGTTTTCACACCCTTATAAGAAATGTTTTGTTCCCCTCTCTAATCGATGTGAGATCTCACCGGAATTACCGAAGGTACAAGTTTATGTTAAACTTTAGTTTGGGGATGGAGACTGGTGTCAAATTTCTTCCTTAAGAGCTTTCCAAAATCTACCTAGAAATTTACTTACTGTCCAATGTAATTGATTGGAAGATCCCATGTACAGTAACAATTTCTCTGAAATATCAGTCTTTTTGTATTTCAAGAAGTTTGTCATTGTGCTTAGTCGAATCAACAAGGACGAACACTGAATCCCGACCCCTTCGCATTTTTAGAAGACGAGGAACTTCTCTCAAGACACCATTCGAAATCGACCGTAGAGAAATTCCTTACGAGTTTGTTGAACACACAGCTGAAATCCCTTGAACAAATATATATCGACTGTCTTCATGTCTCTAGCACTTTCGTTGTAGGCCTCGCCTTGTTCGAAAATTATCTTAGAAATTGAGAAACGTTCCCTCCATTGGGGTTAACTACTTTTGAAGTTTACTTGCCAAGTGCTCTCCTTCTATCATGTTCGAGATATAGGACTTCTTCCTCTTCTTTAATCTCGGTATCAATCTCGATATCGATATTGACTTCAAGTTCATTATCCGATTCTTGTATAATAGCCTTAGACAAACTTATGGCCTTCTCTACGAACAAGGATTAGAATCAATGACCCACATGATCTTAATACATGATTGAAGTATGTAGTAATTCATATTATAACATATGATATTGTAACATAATAATTCTGTAGTTTATAAAACGGCACATTTTCATAATTATCGATAAAGATATCTTTTTTAAAAAAGAAAACCTTTTGTTTTGTAAAGTTTAACAGCATTACAATTTTTTATTTATTTTTAAATTTAATAATATTTTTCGTAAAACTCCATTGAATGAATAAATATCTCCCTCCCGAATAAGAATTAGTCAATTATTCGGAGAAAAGTCAATCTCAATGATGTACTATGTCCATGGAAAACTCTAAATTTGATCTTCTAAAGACCAAATACTCTTCGAAAATTTTCTTTTCTAAGACCTGAAGACTTTAAAGATCGAAAACAATCTATTTACATAGTCATTTTGAAAACTTTGAAGAGAAATTGAAGATTCTTGAAGTATACGACACTACAAGATCTCGAATTTCTTCAAGAACATCAACAAATTAGCAAGTCAATATAAGAATCAACAAACTAACAAAGTTGATACAAGAAAATCAACAAACCAACAAGTCGAACAAGTCGATCCAGCATGAGAAGAATCATTGTACCTTTGGTCTCATTCTTCAATAAAACTTAAAAGGTTAAAATACAACAATCCGAATACACTACTTTTGAATCAAAACTGAATTTTGAAAACTAAGAAAAAGGTAATTCAATAATACAAATATATATACTTTCATAAAATAATAAGAATAGTTTTACAGAGAAAAATCAAAACAAAATTAAGAAACTATTAAACAACAAAGCATTTATTTTGAAAAGAGAACCAAAGAAACTCCTCAACTCATCTGGCATTAGCTGGTAATATACCCGAACACAGCCCAGCATCGTTTTGAGTTTCAAGCAACAAGGACAAGGCCAACTTGGGAAGCAAACCTGAACCAAAATTTAAACACAATAATTCAAGTGATACCACAAAAGACTCCATGCTCAGACTAATCATCCTCGAACAAAAAAGACCGAAACTTCATGTATGATCGACCTCGGTTTCTTATATCTTTACACGAATTATAATGTACAAAGCAAACGAGCAAAAATTACAGAAAGCAACCAATTTCTATGATACACCACAGGACACCCTCAAAGATTCTAAGAAATTACATCTCGCCGTGAAGGAAAGTTTCATTTCCCATGAAAAAGAAATAATGATAATAATGGGGTAATGGCAAGGATTCTAAAAGATATTTAGAGATGAAAAAAAAACTGTGTGGGACGACATATCGCTAACTTCCACGTGCTCGTGGCTCAATAAACAAGGGACGATCAAAACTCAGCATCAACTTGTAGCACAAAAGAAGAGAAACAAAATCTAACTAACTCACCGCTTGCAACTTGGCTCTTGAGAACCATCTTGTAAGGCCTATAATTTGTGTTGAAAAATCAGAATTTCATCTGCTATTTTGTGTTAAAGATCCAATTGGATATTTCTGTATGAGGCATAGTGCTATATACAGAGAGCATCAGAAGGACCAGGCTGCAGACGTTGTTCAACAGGAAATCATCAACTACATCCATGCAAGAGAACCCCGATCACTGGCAACTTGTGGGCGACCTCTTGTCGGTGTTGGTGGCCGATTAGCATTCAGCTCCTGTTCTCAATAAAACCAAAAGAATTAATATACAAAACAACTGACATTAGAGTAAGAGGCAGCCATAGAAGTAAAGTCACCTGCATCCATGTATCCTCCGTATGGCGTTCTAGAGACATCTCGGGTGATGTTATTGCTGGTGGTATGGGATGTATAAGTTTTGGAACCACCACAAGATCTCTACCCAAAACTAAGATCGCTCCAGCATTATTTGCAGTTCCTGTACAGAAGAACGTGTTTTAATGATATGACTAGGACGTGTAAGACGTATAGGTTAGGCACACGTACCACAATAATTGGTAGCTGAGAAAAGTGTAATCAGATGCCCCTGAGCAAAACGTTCAAAGCCATCCATTACACATTCATGAGCACGAACTATCAACTGAAGATCATTATTGTTGCAGAATTCCATAACACGATCAGGCTGCAACCAAACAAGACAACTATAAAATAATTTCAACTTCATAGAAACATCCAAAATTCTATTACTGAAGCAAGGTGATCATCAAACTTTGATTTCCAAACCGAGCACATCAAGTTTGAGGCATACAACAAATGGTGCATAAATATCATGCCTTCGATTAGGTATGTTAGGAAAAGAACGGATCTCTCTGCACACTCCTTCCTAATTTAGCAAATCAATTGATGTACTTTACGTTACTAGATACCTATACCGTGGAATAACTGAGTCATTTTTCCTAAACTAAACATCACCTTAATGTACTCTTGATCCTGAACCTTAATGCTCTCTACAATGAAACATTTCATCTTACAAGGACATGTTTATTTTACCGTCTAATTAGTTACAAAATT